GTTTCTCCGTGTTTCTGAGAGCTGCTGGCAAATCTCCCCCGGCACAAGGGGAACCGGAGGTGAACTGCTTCTCCTTGATTTATGGCATGGGATAGAAACCTGGTGCCAGCAGCAGAGCCGGGGACGGGCACTCCTGTGCAGTCTGAGCAAGCCCAGCTTGTGCAAGGAACTGTGTGACTGCCGGGCACCGCTGCCCACGGATTCCTTGCTGATGAGCTGGGAGAGCAATTCCAGCCCCTGCAGACAAGCAGACCTCAGATCAGCCATCACACCCAAGACCAGCTGCGGTGCCTATTTTTCATCCATTTGCTGACCAGCAGAGGAAGGAGAGCAGGACTGTCTGCACCGGCTATTGCCGTGCCCACCTGGGGACGGTACCACGGAGGGCATCTCAGCCAACCCGCGGGCAATTACAGCCACTTGCAATTTGCTGCTGTATTGCTACCGTGCTGTTCTGCCCAGATTTATTACATCTGATTGAAAGACCACTGCAATTAAAAGTGGCAGAGGGTAAAAAGCGCCATATTTCTTCATGAAATGGAGGTGGAGCAGTTGCATGTTGCAGCATACTCCATAAATCCCAAAGGCAGGCCCTTGGGAAGCTCTCAGCTGCCTCCTTGCAGGGCATAAGGGAGCTGGGCGGCTCAGAGAGCACAGGATCACATTCAGCTTCCAGTGAGTCAATCTGCTGAAATTAAAAAACTGAAGTGGAAGTAGGCTCTCTTCAGCCTTTTATCTTCTCAAATAATTTTTAGCTATAATCTTGGAGCCAAATACCAGTTCTATCACACCCAAGCAAAAATAAAATTACTGAGTATGTTAATTAACTTTTTTTTTTCTCCTTGCCGAGTCTTCAGTGAGATCACTGACAAGCAGCTTTTCTGGGTTTGCTCTGGATAGCACCGAGAACAACTAGTGATCAAGCAACCCATGATTAGAAAGGGGAAGGTTTTCCAAGGTCAAGGGGAATTCAGATGTTCAGACCTTTCTGGAGGCAAGCGGCTGCCCAGGGCAGGCAGGCAAGGGAGGTCGTGCCTGGCTCTGCTCTTGGACACATGCACCAGCCTTTAAAGCCTGACAATCCCCCGATCGTTCAGCATCTGCTTTCAACCAGTACAAAAAGGTGCAGAACCACCCACGTTGTTCTTTACTTTTCTGCATAAATTTCAAACAAAAAGGCTGATCTGCTTTAGTCGGCAAGGTTTTGAGCGGTTAATTCCCTGCTGAGCAGCTTTAATGCTCCAAGTATGAATTTAAAATTCTCTCTGGACAGGTTTGTGTGCTTGGAGGATTGTGCTTGGTTTTGAGAGGTGGAGAGCCCCAGTCAGAAGTGGCAGTGAGCCCCAGGCTCTGACTGTAAGCCAAATCCATGGGATGGACCAGACATGGGATACTGAGTTGCCACCTCCCCCCCAAAACTGTGACTCTGTCCCCATGCCTGCTCCTCCTGGTCTGGTGCTGCCGGAGCAGCACAACCAGCACATCCATCGGAGAACCCACACGATGCCGTTGCGTTACCATGGCAATCAGCACTACAGAAGTGACTAAAAATAAACGCCAGCTCTGCAAAGCACAAAAGATTGTCCTGAATCCAAACCCTGACTCAGCCACCTTCAAACCTGGGTGTGTGCGGCACCGGGTCCCTGCTCGGGAGCCACTCCCCCTCGCACAGCAGGGACATTGCCCCCGTTCCCCTGCAAAATTCAGCACGGAGCAGCAAGCTCCCTGTTCCACAGGTACAGCTTTAGCTTCCATCCTGGTCCACCACTGAACTCTGCCACCAAGGCCGTCTGGAGCTCCACAGGAGCAGGTGGACATCTCTCCAGAGCCCTCATGGGTCTTGGTCATCAAGGAAACGTTGTCTTTTTTCTTTAAATACCTGCTGATTCCTG